CATATTATTATTTTCCTTCCATAAAACTCAGATTTAACAGAATTAGCTTAGCATAATATGCTCGCATCTGTATCAGAAATGCATTGAGCAGCCTAATCTTTAAACTACTTTCAAAAGCAGGTATCACTTCTAGTTTTGCCCATACATTTACGTAATCTTTATAGCAACTACATCAGTAGAAGTGAAAGCTAGTTATGTACGAATATGAATGGTCATGCTCCAATAACTGACCCCAAAATAAACGAATTTAATAAATAGAAGAATAACATTTTCACAAGTTAGAACCATGCAAACTTTCCTTTTCTGGATTAAGGCATGAGATAGTGGACAAGATAAGATTCAAATTAATGTCTTATATAATTAAGGAAGCATTGGATTTGAGGATGCAAAAGCTCACTTTATATATTTATGGAGCAACCCTCATCCTTTTACTCCGGGCTTAAAAAATGGTACGAAACATTTACATGGTATATGCGGAAATTTCTAGCCAGATCCATGCAGAGACGATCAAACCGATATTCTTACTTTCTGACCCTAACTAGCGTACTTTGATCATATCTTGGTCCATAATCACTTCATTCGCTACATTAGTATTGGCAGTATGAGTTTTAAAATGCTAGTAGCTAAATTTTCCGCCTACTTAAATATACCCTTTTCTGACATTTTTATATAAAGTAAAAGCTAAAACAGTAAAATAATACCAGGAACTAAACAAGGGATAATTTATCTATCCATGTTACCTTAATTTATTAGCTATGTATTATAGCTAATTCCCTTAGCTTATATATACGCCTTTATGGCTTTCTAAAGAATAGGGTGAAAACATTTTAAAAAACCTGTCCGAATACCTTTTTTCTATCTATTTGTAATGTGTTTGCTATTTTACTGTTAGCCTGGGTAAGTAATCCTCGTTATTCTTGTAGAAGTAAGCTCAGATTTAAAAATTTGTTAGTTATCATAAAGGGATGTGCTTATAGAGTAGGAAATACGCTTATCTTATAATAATCCTAGCGTATATATTAATTCAATGCATTAATACTAGGACTCAGTCAATTGAAGAATCTCCTTCTACCCAAGAGTGTGGATTTACATAGTTAAGTTGCTCGAGGTGTTGACCCGTTTCCGTTACCTTTCCAGCCAAAAAGGATGGCAAAAGTTAAGAGGACATAACGACAGAGTCAAGCGGATCATATACTCAGCTCAGTCGAATAGGCAATAAAAGGCGTAAACTCGAGTTGGCCATTGTTGTAGAGACTATAAATGAGCGGAAGGACTCAGATACATTAGTTGCTGTTGCATTATGCATGGTACAGATATAGCATATCATGTATAGCTGCCAATGCAACTAGGCCTCTGTAGGGAGGAGTTACATAAAATTCAACGTTGTCCGTATAGCGCCAGCATCTGCTGAAGGCCGAAAAGTCAAATGTTTTAGTAAATAGCTTTGGAGTTTAATCAAGGCAACACTTTTATATATAATTAATTACTCAAATATATCTAGCTCAGAAAGGGATAGATTATGGTGGTTAAATATGAAACGATAAATTATCAGAACTAATATCTGCATTGGTAATGGGAATATTGTCTAAAACTCATGATCTTTTGCTTTTACTACAGTTATATGTTATTATATACGTGATGCTAAAACTAGTTCATCCATGGAGTATAGGTCATTAAATGCGAATAAGAATATTACGTTTAATAGGCTATAGTGCATTTTGCATTTTCCTTTTATGCAAATTATTCCACTTGCTTAGGCCGATTTGAATCTCAAATCTCAAACAACTCTAAACAGCGGCATTTCACCTCGGTTTACCGGGAAACCTCTCCTGCAGCGTCCAGAGCCACGTATCCTCGTCAATTCAAATCATCCCAAAGCAAGTGTAGCACCAACCGTTTCCGTCTTCACCAGACAGACAGTCAACACTAAGGGAGCAACTTCAGCTGAGCTGTCGAGTAGGTTTCATGAAGTGCTGGCTGAGGAGTTGGCGCTTGATACCTTAGCTCGTGAAACTCGCCTCTTGGCTGAGCGATCAGCAATCGAAGCCGAGCAGAAGAGAGTTCGCGAGATAGCAGAAGCGGAAGCACTCGAACTTAAGCTGACTATGGAAAGAGAGCACAGGGCTGCTGAATCATATGAGAGAAAAATGGCTGAACTTCGTAGACAGAGAGAAGAGGAATTGATGGCTAGATTAAAAGGTTGGACATTTAGGTCACTTTATCGTATGATTATAAAAATCAAAATTGATATATTATTCTCGCTATCTTGCTATGTTCTCATCATACAGTGAGCAAGCTAGAAAGAATAATATTGAATGAATTTTTTAAATACTATTATTGTGTTTCATTAATGCCTCATAGAACTCCAAACGATATGCTTATTATGGGGTATATAATTTATTTGTATTAAGGCCACATAGAGAATAACGATCATTGCTTAATTTTTCTTTCTGCTTAAACTACTAACAACTAAATTGTTTTCAAGTATATCGCTTAAACTAAGAAATATTGATTATGGGAACGTAGTAATAGAAAAAATATAAATATTTCCTATTTATTTTGTCTATTTTGCTAGCCTAACCAAGTTTGATAATATGTTTTTATGCATTTATTCTAAAAGAAGACGAAATGCGCCTTTTGGCAGAGCAAGAATTACGTAGAAAAGACGAAGAGATGATGCTTGCAAACATGTCAGAAAAAGAGCGAGCTAAATATCTACAGGAAAAAATGGAAGATGAAGCAGAAAGGTAATAGATAACATTTACTCTTACCAGTATAATCATGCTTAAATATTGTCCACTCGTGTTATAAGTTTATATTCGACTGGTCATAAAGCTGCTAATTTCCATTGAGATACACCAGCTTCGACTATTTTTTTAGTGCTATCAACCGCGTTCAAGGCAAAGTTAAAGCCACGCTTAACATTATCAATTAATATAAATATTGTAGGCATATCAAAAGGTCATTCTTATCCTAGATTTACTAGAAGTGTGATTTTATCTTTGCCTTATCAGCATAAACTTTGATTATAAACATATATTTGCGGGTAGTAAGGAAGGCAGGGCTAGCGTTAGTGGGGTACATCAGAACCCTGGCTCTAAAAAGAGACCCTTTACAGGGTACATGATTTTATGGGCAATTTCGCATCGATAGGTATTTGTTGGCTTCCAATTAGTTTCTATATGATAATATTTTGCGTAGAAAGTAGGAGTTATTTACTTTCTCATTCATCAGGAAGCTAATTGTTCCCCACAGAATAATGGTAGTCGGAAAGAGGTTGAATTCTTAGGCTAACTTATCTATTATTCGTATTAAAGTAGGGTTTCGAGACTACCAGTAACTCAGTGTAATGAGATGTATTCACCCTATGGGCAAGCAAGGCTATGTGAAATTCAATGGAAAAGTCAGCTAAA